AGACTCTATGTTCAGTGAATAGTAGCGATCAATCCCGCAGGAATAGGATCCTCTGGTAGCCAGAAGAAAATTTCACAAGCAAGCACGTACCTACGCGCATGCACACTCAAATAACTAATTAAAATAACATGTACAAACTAATGTCAACGTACTCTTGGAGTTTGTAATAGGAAGAATTCTTAAAATTATTAATTGATCAGACACATGATTAATTCTCTAGGTCTACGAAAGAAGAAGAGGTAAAAGCGATTAATTGTATATTAACCGTAGGATTAAATGGGAATGAATGATGGAATTTAGAAAGTGGTGCGTGTGTGCGTGTGTGTTGTGTAGCCCTTCAATTCAATGAGCAAGCGCGCTCCATGTGCTCTTGTTACATTGGTTGTCCCGGGAGATAGTGGACCATTATCAGTGTCATGTTTTTTTTTTTGGGGGGGTACAACTTTAAATTCAGGTTTTGTGCAACGACTAGATTTGGTTCTATAAATAAATAATATCTTCAAACATATATTATATTCTTAGTGGGGCGATGATAAATGGTTTGTCTATGTCTAACTTGAGTACTCATCAAACTCAATTATCCCATGGACCTGGAGATATTTCAGGATTCATTGGTCCATTTTTCTCTAGTAGAAGATACTATATGTAGATAATCTATAAAGCAACTAATATATAGTACCAATAATATCAGAGCATTCATTTAATTAGCAACGGTGTTCTGTTCAGATTAAACGTGTCTCGTGATTCATACTCTGCAAACCAATGTTTTCTCACATCTTACAACGCCTTCCATTTCGGTACTGCTACTCAGCAGTCATATGCCCAAATAATTAAGCATAAATTATAAAGATATACTATACGAAAGCTTTGTATCAATAAGAAAAGGGATACAAAAAGCTAGGGTTACGTATAAAAACATGATATATAGTGGCCACCAATAAATTATCTATGTCTAGGATTAACTACTTTTATTTTTTTAAAAAAAAAATTTACATATCAATGTTTGGAAGCTGATAACACGTATGTACGCGAATAATTCTGTGCTCCACTTGTGAGGAAAACTTAAATATTTTGAGGAAATAATTGATGGAGGCATTAATGAATTAATATATTGCAGATCCAAAAGGCAACGGACTTTACCAGAAAAAACTACTAACGGTCCCAGGCCAACTAACTTATTGATGACAAATCCACTGGGATCGGATCATTACTTGTATAAATTTAAGAGGAGATGATGCCGGTTTCCGTGTCTACACCCACATGTGGAAGGTCACAATAAGCTTCAAGAGAAGAACTTTTTAATTATCTGACATTTGCCCGGCCAGACAGTCTAACATTGATACAGGGCAATAGTATTATTATATTATATAAATATAAACACACACACACACACACACACATATAGAGAGAGAGAGAGAGAGAGAGAAAGCTAGCACAAATGGGGATGGAGGAGAATAGCATATACATAGAAGGCACATGGAGAGCACAATGGATGATAGTGGGGTAGTCAGTGTACATGCACATTCGTGTATTTGTATGGCATGAGGGGAAATACTAATAATAATAACAACGATACAAGAACATGGTGTCTCTTTCTTTTGTTATGATTGGTCGAATATGGAGCCGGTCTGATTTATTAAACAAAATATACAAGTGATAGAGATCAAATAGCTGATGTCTGATGAGGTGGACGTACACCTGACTGTGTGATCCAGAATCCTTGTAGTTGTGAGTGACTTCTGGTGAATCAATTTTAACCCCAAGAGAAAATAGAAACAATACGACCAAAAACATCCTCCTCTGACACCAATCAGAGAAGCTAAGCCATGACATGAAGCCCTTTTAAATGATAATACCAGAGAATATGCATGCTTACACAGGCTTTGTAATGGTCATGTTATATGATTTGATGAGTGCATTGGAACGAAGACCACCACCACAGCAATCGCTTCTATATATCCTCTTTTATTTTATTTTATTCTTTTTGTGGCCCTCACTCACAAATGCATTCTCTCAACCTTTCACAGCTCTCTTCGCTCATTTGTATCAAAAATTAAAAAAAAAGAAGCTCTCTTCGCTCAGTAATCCCCCTAGCTAACTACATTTCCATCTTTTCTTTTCTGCCAGTTTTCGACCACTTTTTCTTTCTTTCTTTGTTTTTTTCAAAATTTTTTTTAAACGAAAGCATCAAGTGAAGAATTGTTTTTTCTTTTTTTTGAAAAAGCCAAACACTTATTGAAGGCGAATTTTTGGGTAAAACAAATTAGTAGTTATCATACCATAATTAAAATTCGTGAGCCCCCCTGTTCATGGTAAGTGTACATACATGCATGCATATATCAGTGTCTTGATTAAAGATCAGCAACATATATAGAAACTTATTGGCACACAGGAAGAGAGGGCATATGACCACAGAAATATTTCCAAATGCTAATTCAAATTGGAAGATGGGTTAGGCTTCCAAAATCTAGAGCCACGTCTCAAAAGCAGGAGTAATATATGGTCTCTAATTAATTATTATTTGTTTAATATATAAGACCTATTTAACTAATTTAATTAGATTAAGAAAGTTAGGTAAGTTAGTTAATTATACAAAATATGACATGTTTTTTCTAAAACACTATAATCATCTTCCTTAATATCCTCATTTTATCTTCTACTTGATTATGATTGAGAGATTATCTATAAAGGTAATTTAGAAAAAATTAATAAATATGAGAAATAGATCTTATATTTAGGATCAAAATCAATTCAACAATTAGGTATTATATTAATGACCGAAAGAGTGTAATATTAATTTCCTTTAATCATTAACAAATAATCTTCATCTTTAGTGCCGCCTTTCTTCATTGAATAACATATAATCACTGTTTAGGGGGCATAATCATGAACCTTCTCACAACAATAGGCGACACCGTTCTGGTCCTGAATTCACGCTTGACAGGTTTCTTGTGTTTTCGATGTTTGGAAGGTTTTATGGTAGGTTTTTCGCGTTTGATTGACAAATTGTAGAAAATCTAAAGGTGTATATAATTTACCAAGGGAAATCATGTCGAGTGCAAAGCAAATGTGTATATAAATAAACTTAAACCTACCGTCGCATTTTTTTACCCCTGCCAGTCAAATAAGTTTTTGGGAAAAGAAAATACTGTTAATAACATCAATTTTTATGTGTGAATATGATGCTTTGGTCAAAATTCATGAGCTGTGGAACGTGTAGTTTCAACTTTCAAATCCATTTCTTGCCTACCTCTCTCTTTTTATGTTTAATTTCTTCATAGTAGCTTAATCTACATCTAATCGAGTAAATCCCCCCCCCCCCAACCCTTCTTTTTCCACCATAGCAGAAATTAATTTCTTTTAGGGTACAAAGGTCAAAAGGAAGCAGATCCCTGCCAGTTGGATTTGTCGCATTTTCAGCTCGAAACACACTTCACTACAAAAATTGATGGTGAAGGCAGTCTTTTCCTCGACCAATACCTTCTACTTTACTCCTTGTCATTTTCACTTTCAGTGTTCCCTGTGATATCTCACTTTCATGGCAGGTGATAAACATTCGAGTAAATTAAAGACCATTTTGTTTAATTTTTGTTAAGAGTGATATTAATTCAGTTAAACATGAAAGATTTAGTTGTTTTTCTTGCCTTGTTTAAGCTTTTCAAAATATATCATTAGTTGGGGGGGGGGGGAACTTATTTTATAACTTATTTTGATAAATTATTTAAAATAATTATTTTATTAAAAAATTTTTATGTTATTTATTATTTAAATATTTTGAGTTGAGTTAAATTACAATTACTCTTTTTTTAATAATTTAAAAATCAATTTATTTTTTTGAGTTTAAACCAACATGCTTCAAAGTCTTTTCAGACACTACGAATCAATAGTAATTAAGTGAGTAAAATGCTCTGATCACTATCATGTTTTATCTTAATTACATATATTTTTCATCTACTTTGAAAAGATACATTTTAATTTTAATCTAGACCATTAACACCGTTAAAAAAAATATTCTAGAAAGATTCTTTAAACATTTTTTTTAATTAAAAATCATATCAGGATCAATCTTGTTTACTATTTTACCCTCATTACATTTAATCTTTGATTTATCTTTTGCCATTAACATTTATTAATTATCTATTTAATATTTTTACTAGATTTACTAAATTAAGATACAACTTTATAATTTAATTGAAAAAATATATATACGGGTAACACATGCGATTACAAAACATTTTTTTAATTACTATTGATTCTTAGTGTCTGAAAAGACATATTTAAAAGATTACATAAGGAAGTTTTTAATAAATAAACAAGATTAAACATTTAAATTCATTGTAAAATAAGAATTTGTAATTTCAAAATTAATTAAATTTTTAATATGGCAATTGATTTAATAGTATAACCAAAAATATTAAATACGTATAAAAATTGCTTTTTAACTTCAAAATATATGTCGTGTGATTAAATAATAATTATTAAGTAATATTTGTAGTAAGAAGGGGCTTTGGATAAAAAATAATAGATGAACACTATGATTTAATGGTTAATTAACAATTAGATAGATGAAAGTTGAATCTAAAAACTAGAACGAAAATTTGTGCAACATATATTTTAATTTTAAAGAAGGTTTATATAAGCTTTTAAAATGAAATAAAAGTATATGTAATTTTCATTAAATAGAGGAGAAATTAATATCTTTGACTTTTACTCTAATCAATATTTGAACACTTGAATAGACGAGAGCATCATGATAATGCTTTAGAAATTATTATTTTGGGTTAAAATATGTTCAACACCATTAACTATTTTTCCAGCACAACATTTAATCCGGCGGAGGCGTCAGGCTTGTCAGAGTTGTTTGGCATAGCACCTCACCTCAGCTTTAGGCGCTAGCCGCTAAGGCAACATTGCCCTAAGCAAACTTCCAACATCTAATACCAAACACCACCGGAGGGTTGATGACCAGTACAACGGAAAATGCAAGCAACGGAACCAGGTCCAGGGCAAAGAGTGCTCCGCGGTAGATTCCTAGAAACATTTTGATATTGTATCGGCTTGAATTCTCACTATATACAAACAGCCGTTAACTGTGCATATTTTGAAACCAAAAACCTAATACAAAACATGTATCAAAACAAAAGTGAAAAACTTATCAAATCTTGCTGGCGAATATTATCATTTCACAATGGGCTGTAGGCTGTAGCTTTAACGCAGCATCTAGGGAGGGGTAATGTACATGATTAAATTACCAGCAGATTTATTTGTGCGCAAATTTCCCAAAAAGGAGCAACGAGGTATTCACATGGCGCCCATCAGGCAAAAGCTGCTCTGCTTTTGTAACAGTTTTAACGCGTTCTTTGTTAACCGATGGAAATGATAATGAAAGAGAGAGAGATGCCGCAACACCATCATCCTCTTGCTCATCTGCCAAGCAATCTGGAGGCTTTTCCTGACAATGCTTCTTCTCTATTTCCCCAGCAAGGAAAGGCAGCATTCCTTTATGTGTTGGTTTCATTTCACCCCCTAAAGCAAGTTCTAAATTTGGTATCTCGTCATGAAATTGATCGTCATACACATGAGGCCCTTTCAACGACGAGCTATTTGGACCCAAATGAGAATCATTAACGTCATGCGCATCAACTGGAAAGAAAGTTCTTTCCATTGTTCCCGAGTCTTCCAGGATGATTTTCTCATCACAGATTTCATCACATCCTTTGTCCTTAATTGAAGAGCCGGTACCAAGATCATTTGCATGTGACGCAAAACTGTTCCCATAAGAATCTCTACCTCCAGAACTGCTACATCCATAAGCTCCACAATCATCTGTTTTCAGCTTCTTGCTAGAATTTTCTCCATCTTCCAATTTGACGTCTGCCTCGCTCCAAAGTCTCTTGCAAGTAACTGCAGAAGTCTGCATAGCAGTGTCCATTAGATCAATGTGCCGAAACCTTTCATCATTAGGCTGCTGAAGCTTCACCCCTTCTACAGTTGGCTCTGCCTGAAGAGTCTCAAAGTCAATATACTGATCATCTTTTTGTTGCTTTTTACGCCTTTGTTGGTTGCTATCACCTGCCATTCTCTCAGAAAATCTGTCCTCACTGGCAGTGGTTGCAACACATATCTCTTGAGAGCCAAGAGAAGGAATCCCTGAAGGCAAAGACTTCTCTTCGTTAACGGATATACCCGGATCAACTTCAGTTTCCATAATCATATTCGTAACATTTGCTCCCATTGCTTCAGGAGAAGATTCAGACTCCTTTTCTGGTCCACATTCCAGTGGGCTACCTTTCTGCATGAAGCGATATTTCAAAACAAAAACAAAAAAAAATGAAAAGCAATTCACAACATATATAACAATTCACATTTTGACCCCTGAAAATATCACCAGCTTGAGCTTTGTAGTAATGCACAATTAAGCCCTCTTTTTACTTCATTTAGGTTCACTTTAGTCCCAATGTTGGCTCACAAATGGGCTAATTTTATTACAAAATAAAGAAATTCAGGACTCAGCTATATGTTCTCTTTCTTTCTTTTTTTTAATCCAGTGTATAATTAAATTAATGATATTTTTCAGGGAATAGAGGGTTAGTCTAGTCTAGAAAGCATTAACTGTTTATTTGTGATCTCAATGAAATTATCACCAGCAAAGTCAAGAAATAAAATATGCCCTAATAGCAACTACCAATTTCATCCTGCTACATCCTGCAGTAGGCATTTAACCACACAGAAAATTATTCTATTTATTTGTCCTCCTCTTCATAGAAATAGTAAAATTAGATCTCATACCATTCCACAACCCTCCTTTTACATGTCTCTTGATTATTTCATTAAGATCAGTAGATTCAACCAAACCTCTGACCAACATGCGCTTTTAGACCAGCAAATACAGCAAAGAAAACTCATCTCAGGACCACAGAACCAAACATAAATTATGGAAAGCTATCTCTACTGCAGTCTTAATCCGTGAAGTCAAATTAGCAAACCACGTTCTTCACAATATTTGACAGGAAAAAAAATTGAGGAATCTCCATCAGATCAACAATTTAACACCATTACGAAGTGCAACTAACATAATTTATATCAGGCATAAAGAGAAACTCTAATCTACTGAATCAGTCATATAAGGATATAAACATTACCATATATGAGCCAGTAGATTTCAACTCTTGACTGAAATGTGTACCACTAGCCAGACTGCTTGATGTAGGTTTGGTGTCAATTTTACCATCTTGCTCCTCTAAGTTTACTTGTGAGCCTGAGTGTGTCTGGTCAATATTAGATTCTTTTACATCAACATCCCTACCAACTGGAGCGCGATTCTGGTCTAGGGAACTAGATGGTAGAACCATACATGCCATATCCGCAGCAATTGACTGTTCATCCATTCGCTTTGGTGAGCAGTGGACCTCAGACAAAGTCATAATGGCAGTGGGAAAATCCTTTTTCACTGGCATCATACTCGAGGCAGGAATACAAGTCTTTTCCGCAGAATCTGAATGATTTATCCTTCTTCCCCTAAACACACCCCATAAGAAAAACAACATATTCCAACCTGCAATAATGATGAGATTGTTTAGCAATCTTGAAACATGTTGCTGCAAGTGAATTTAAGCACATTTTCTATTTTGAAAACAATAATGTATAGATGTAAATCTAACCCCTCATGGACCCTTAAAAAGCCACATTGGACACATCCATAATACTCTAGTGGAAAAATGACTTATGACAGTCACAGTTTTCCACGTAACACTATAAATTAGGAAGATGCATAAGTAAACTTTTTCCACATGGAACACTATAAATTATGAAGATGCATAAGTAAACTATCTCTAGTGCCTAAACTAAATTCCAGATCATAATACTTGTAACAATTTGTTATCTCTAGTGCCTAAACTAAATTCCAGATAATAGTACTTGTAACAATTTGTTAAATGGAAAATAACAAAATTCGTCAGTAAATACAATTTAATACAGTTACTATTTGTGATATCTCCTCAATACATTCCAAAGTTGCACATTAATCAATTTTTTACAAAGCATTAACATAAGCATAAATTTCACCATAGGCCCCAAAGACATGAGAATCCATCAGAGAGTTGTCTACCATGGGAGGCAGGAGCAATTTGACAGAAAAGTCAACAGTATTCCTTACGCTGTGATTTTTCAGGAAGCTGATTGGATGGGAATATGAGCAGTTCAACACCATCAAAGATTCCTTTAAGTGCCAAGTCATTCCTCATCATGTGATCCAAAAGAACGCCATAGTGTTTCTCATGACTATTAGGGGGAAAAAAAATCATTAAGAACATAAAGTTGTATAAGCCATAAAATTCATGAAAACTGCTGAAAAAAAGATCAGCACCACCAGTGGTTAATTAAGCCATTCCTTTAAATTTCATCTTCCAAGGTCATTTTCCACAACTTTCCTACAAAAGAACAATATCCATACTCTTACCTTTCAACATCTTGGGCAAAGAAGTAAAGTGCGATATTATTTTCTTTAGCACCACCTTGATGAAACTGTGAAGGCCATGTGCTCAAGCGAGGAACTTCACAGAGAGAAATTTTGGATGGTAATTTGTTCACCACTTCAAGAACCTTTGTGGAAGCAAAAGCGGACAAATGCGCTTGAAGTCCAGGACACAAGTCAGGAGGCTTTCTGCTCCTATGCAGCTCAAAGATACCCCTGAATGCCAACAAAAAATCTCATATAGCCCACCTTGACAGTACATATAGAGTAATATCGTATAAAACAAATCTAAAAGTAAAAGACAAGGAAGCTCAGGCATGAAGTTCCTTACTTCCAGATGCATTCATATTCTGGAACAGCCATCTTTGATAGAACACATGAGATCGCCAAAGGTTGACTAGGAAAGTCTCTCACAGCATTCTTTCCAATGGAAGAGCCAACAACACCTGGGTTTCCTAATTGAGAACAAGAATCATTTTGGTTTAAGTTAAGCTGCTTTTCATCAGATATGCATTTCAAAGATGCAGCTGCAGAGCTCTCAATAGTGTCCTGCCCATCGTGAATTTCTTCACCAGATGTGCTATACTTTGGTGTGCAAGAAACCAATACTTGGTCTTGAGTTGTGGCTTCACATTTCAAGTCTGCGCCAAGCTCATCCATTTGATTAGCCACTTCTTTCTTTTTGTATATTTCTGGCATTCTAAGCAAAGCTGCTTGGAGAGCAGCTTTCACATTATCACTTTTATGCATTTCCTCTATATAACTACTTGTGGTAGCAACAGAAACTTCATTACCAGATTCTTGGATTTTACCAATTGTGCAACATTCTGTAGTATGACCAGACTCCTTACACTTTTGACAGCATCCTTTGGAAGTAGCAATGGCATCTGTCTTCACACAGTCACTAGAGGTGTCTCTGGATTTCTCAACTGGATTAGCTGTTTCTCGTAATCGAGGCTGCACATCTTGTACAGATTCATCACCACTGGTATATATCCTCCCTAGAAAGTTCCAAAAAAAAAAAAAAAAACTAAGTAAGAAATACCCTTGCAGATAATATATTTAGACTTGTCTTACACGGACATAATCAAACAATGCAAACTGCTCTCCTACTGATTCTAAAACAAGGGTAAAGCTCATATATTGCATTGAAACCAAAACAGCAGCAGCAGCATATTGATAAAGGAAGAAGAAAGATGTAACATGGATGGTGAAATACTATAACAAACATAACATGCTCTCAATCAAGATCTTACCTGAACAGACTTGAGGTTCTACACCTTTACGGCCTACATTACTAATAGACTTTGATAAGGTACTTAATTTTCCATCTTGATTCACCTTCAAGTCTCGGTTGTTGCTAACTGATGAAGATTTAATAGTTTCACTAATAGTTGAGTTCTTCTGGTCACCTTTGGGTGTTGAAACAACAGAGGTAGCCGTTGTTGAGCAAACCACTGGTCGATCAACCCTAGAAAGACTTTTCTTGTCAAAGGCACTGGAGTCTTTTGCAAGCCTTGTTCCTTTCAAATCTTGAGCGGGTACAGATTTTGATGAAAGCAATTTAACTTTTGATGCAGTTGTACTTGAACGACCCAAATGCATGGATTTAAATGACACAGATTTTCCTATCATCCGGGCAGGTGTCTCCATATTCTTAGAAGTATTTTCACCAGGCCCTTTCAGCTTTTGGGGAACAACATCATCAACAGGTTTGACTCGAGGCTTTGAATTTAACACGTTGAATGAATTAGATTTCAACAGCATACCTATTCATGGAAGCAAATATGATGGAAATAATTAAACATAGGATGACAAATTTTTGCGGAACTTAAATAGGTACAAAAAATAAGAATCATGCACAATATAGGATAGGTGAATCCATACCCTTTCGAAGTAGACCCCGAGGGCCAGCAGAAGGAGAACAAGCTGTTTCCGTGTTATCACTGCCAGAGTGATTTCGAATAGGCATCTGATTATCAGTCTTCACTTTACCTTTATCTAAGCTCTTTAATGAAGATTCTTGAGAAAGTGCAACTATTCTCTTGGGGCTTGATGACTTCGGTGAACCTGAGCTTGATTCAAGAGCCTGCCTTTTTGTTAGAGGAGTCGGTTCTATATTCTCAGTCAGCCTCTTGCCAGAATGTTGTGATGTTGAACTAACTTTTGAAATTTTTCTTTCTTCAACATCTGAACCATGAAATTTGTTCCCATGAATACGTCAGCATATAACCATGGACCCAAAGCTAGCAAGGGCACTTATATACTTCCTACCCTCAATATGAAAACTGAAGCCATGCATACTCCAGATCCAGAAAGAGATAAATATGTCAGCCACCATGACTAAATCTTCTTTAATTTTATGCATAACTTAACTCTTACCTAGCCTCTGATTATATGTCTCTGCAAATTTGCATTCTTCACATTGCCAGTCTCCTTCAGGGACCTTCTTAAGCATTTCTCGCATGCAATAACTGATTGGAAAAAATAAGACTGTCAAGACTTTCTTTGCTTTGCCCCCTTCTGATGAGATTTGCACTAATAAATTGGGGGGAAAAAAAGATATGGTTTAAAATGTTATGCTTACGTGTGTTCTGCACCATCACTACACCTACTACATATGGCAAGCAGGTCTTCTCGACCAGCATCTCCACAGATATCACAAACTTTTACCTATTTACCAATCAATGAAACTGACCGTTTAATATATTCTGCTACATTAGCAAACACAAGGAAAAAAATTCTAATGCGAAATGAAAGCAGTTGTAAAAAATTAATAACATTACTGCTGATAGACTGATATTGTACCAGGGAAAATCAAGTTATGTAATTAGGGAATCAAAGATTTACAATTTATTTAGTTGTAAAGGTCTTTAAACATATATCCCTTTGATACTCAGCATTTCATTTCCAAATTAAAATTTAGGATTTTAGCTCAAGAAAAGGTTGCTTGTCTATAATGTGAATGTTTCAATTCAGAAGAACATTATAAGTAATTTCAGAATTGTTTACTGTTTCTGATTCCCTTTATACATAAAGTAACATATAGCTCAGGATCATAGAGAGCTAAGTGCATGTTTCTTCATATTTATACTTATTTTCCTTGCTACTTTAAGCAGCCAATGTATAAGCACAGCTCATACCTGATCAACTAATTAAATAAAATGGAACTTCATATGGTTTTTGCAATTCAATTACCAAAGTGTCACATGAGATGGCACATCAAAATATCATATCAATTTTATGAATATAAAACTAAAGACTGAATGCTTTTAGGAGTCTTGTACAACTAAAACAGTTAGTGACCATAAAACCATACCTTACTGAAGTAGAAATAAAATAACAGAATTGTGCCACACTTTTTGTTGGCGCGTGGCACCTTAATCTTTTGGCCATCATGTGTACCATGAGACATTTGTGTTCATTGTTTAATGTTAATGGCTTTTATCCCACAAGGAAGGGGGAAATATATCAGTTTTGCAAAGGGATTTATATGCTTTTGTGAGCTGGTGAATTCTGTGACTTGTTTTCGTACTAATTATTTAGTTGTCTAATCATGTACTTGGAGTCAGCAATATCATCTCCTTTTTTTTTTTTTGATGAAATATCATCTCCTTTTCTAATAGAGCAAATAAATAAACAAACAACATGGAAGTATAAGAAGGGTACTCACATCATGCTCAACAACATCTGATTCATCACTCTCATCTTCAGATCGAGGATCCTCCATGCCAAGTGATTCAAGTGGTTTCTCAGCTTTATCCTGCTCATCTTGGACTTCATCATTACGAGCTTCACCTGGAATGCCTCCATTGACAGCATCAGCTTCTGACTTGGAATCTATTTTTAATGAAGCTGAGGAGCTACCATCAACAAGAGGTTTCTCACCAGAAACAACCGAATTTGCTATCACTGTTCTCAATGGTGAATCAGTATTTTCTGTGAAGCATTCAGGTTTTTCTGGAATAAGAGAACGTGCATCTCTTTCCACGTCCATTAATCTGGGAATAGTTGAATGAGACTTGACACATTGAGACTTTGAATCATTGCCTTGTACCTGAGGCGAGCTCTCAATGGTATCAACATCTTTTGAAGGAGGAATCTCAGGTAAGCCACACATGTCAAAAGATTGTGCACTCCCAGATCCTTCTGCCCCTAAGATATTAACTGAAGCCGAACTACAAGATACATTTCTCCTGTCTGCATTCTTGGAATGGCTACCATTTGCTAAATTAACCTCACTGGCTCTACTAATACAAGAAGTGTTATCATCAAGACCTTCTAGGTACTTAGACTCCTGACACTTACTTGACAAAGTCAGTTTACTATCTGCATTTTCAGATAGAGAATCATGACTGGAATTGACACTGAGCACGTCAGCATGCTGAATGCTTTCATGAGCCCTGCTCCTAATAGAAGATATATCACCTTCATCCATAGAATAATGGTTACTCCCCACTAAACGGCAATTTTCATCAGAGAACTCAACCTTTGACCCCATGCAAACTCGGTTAAAATGCATACAAGATGAACAAGGAGCTGAACACACATTACAAGTCCCTGATTCACGTCTCATATCAGTGTTCTGAGTCATAGGATATCTGACGGTTGTCTTTCCAGATCCAGGTGATACCTTCAAACAAATAATAAGTAAGAAGAAAGGTGAAACCTTTGATTCAAACTCCAAATAAACAGAATCTAGCGCTCAATAATCTTTTTTGCAAGGCTAAGACTTTCCCCGATGTTAAAAGCTGAAACTTTAGATTGCATAGTACATAGGGACTAACGCTAATGATCTGGGAGAAACACAAAAGCCACATCAAACTTTATCTGATAATATTTGTGCATGTATTTGTAAGTTCATCAAATACTGGTTACACTGGCCTGCGTTGCAGGGATCACTAGCAGCAGTTTATCTAACTAAATTTGAGATCTTCCCAAATCAATTTTCAAGGTTTTGGGCAAAGTAATGCTAAAATTATCGTCAGACATAAATGCTTACCCTGGCTACTTCTGTAGGTAGGAAGGATTAGCAATCGCAAGATAATTTAAAATTCTCAACTGATTTATTCTTTAAAAGGCTTCTTTGACGTACATGGAAAGATTGAATAGCTCCCTTGAGCTAATGCCAACTTTTTTTGCTTTTGTTTTGTTCCTCTTGTAACGCCCTCTTAAGAAGGAGTTCATATACCCAATAACTTTACTTTTCACTAATAAATAGTCTCCAATAAAAATAGAAAAGAAACAAAACAACATAGGTCAGAATTGAAGTCTTATCCGTGTAGAATTCAGCATGGATCAGCCACCATAGTAACATGGCCAAAATCAATAAACTAGAATTCTTAATATATAACTGGAAAGAATGATACACAAGACTAATTGGAGCTCAACAGAAGGCAAGTACGAGACATATAATCTTAGCCACCATGTTATCTCACCATACGCTCCTGAATATGATCTCTTCATCCACGGGTCCTGGCATACAGAAACTCCATCTCAATATTGCTGTCATCTAGAAAGTAGATCCAAACATCATTAACAACAACCGCCCAACTAAGAAGAAAAAACACTTAGCAATGATCCTTCCAGTACATTGGTAACCAAAAGAATCCCGTAAACACCCAATCATTGCAACCACCGCAAGGGAACCTAGTGGACTAACAAACCCGTTAATGAAGATTCCATCAAAACACCAAAACTATTCGATTAAAGGGTTTCAAACCCTAAACCCACCAACAGTCAATTAGTTAATCCTATTTGAACAAGTAACCAGCTTCGCCAACATATTCGTATCAAAACCATAAAAAACGATATTCATATTAATTGTAGATAATCAATGAATAGCTAATAACAACTGGGAAATAATTGACATATACGTATAACAACTAATAACAAGTACAAAGATACATGTAGCAACTAATTTGCAACAATCAGAATGAAACCCTAACCGGGAGATAATTGACACGCCCCTTGCTTTAAAATCATCAGAGTCGCATTGCAAATATACTCCAAGGTTTCGGTCATTGCCGACGGCCATCAGAGGCCCAGTGACTCCGATGTCGATATCAGTCGCAGAAATCTCTGCCCTAGAACTTGTAGGATATCAGAGTTTTCACTGTGACGACCACCGAACCCGAATTCAAAGTAAAAAGGTACAGAACAGAAGACAACACCCAGATGAACATGTACTTAGATATGCATATTACAGAGGATCTGATGCAATTGTTTTGAATTTATATATAACAATTACTATACCAATAAATAGGTGGATTTTCTTTCTCTGCCTTCCACGGCCTCTGATCTGAAGGTGAAAAAAAAAAAAAAAACTTGCAACAGTATTTTTTATTAAAGAGAAAGAGAATCCATCTAATAAAGCTGGCTTAAACCACCCCCTTCTCTCTCTATCTTTCTAAAATTTCTGGATCCAGATACGTTTTACTTCTCTGAAAATTTTTCCTTTTAACTCACTAAATTTTTCTAAAATGGACAAAAAAGAAAATTCACAGTAAATGTAAGTAAATCTGAACCTACAAATTTTCTTGCTTGTAGAATTTATGCGAGTCTTTCCGTTTAAGATGCTTTTTTTTTTTTTTTCTTTTGCAATAATTTTCTTGATTTATTTTTGTTTCATAAGTCAAGGGGAATGAAGGGTACGCTCCGCACGTGTAAGGTTCCTGAAACGTATCGCTGAGTTGCGTGTGAATTTGAACTGAACACGTGAGAAAGGTGCGCGTGAGGGTTGCGTGGGTCAGCAGTAACGCCCCTGTGGCATGCGTCTCACCCTCACATTTCCATTGCTGATTGCCCGAATACGGTATACAAGTTTCTTTTTTTTTTTTTAATTCTTAATATAAAATCTATTTAATTAATTTAATTAGATTAAAAAAAATTATATAAGTCAATTAATTATAAAATATGATATATTTTTTTAAAATACTATAATTATCTTTCATAACATCATCCATTCCTCTCCTATTTAAGTATAAATGAGGGAGTATCAATAAAAGTAATTTAGAAAAAATTGATAAATATGAAAAATAAATTTTATATCTAGGAGCAAATCAATTCAATAATTAAGTCTTATATTAATACCGGAAGTGTCCTAAAAGTTTATCCACCACCATGATTTTCTTTGGGTTAAAATCTATCCGTCCAAATTTAAGAAGAGCTAAATAATATTAGCGTCATTAAAATTTGTTTTTTTACCAGTTATATCCCCAATTAAAGAAAAAAAATTAAGGATAAAAAATACTCATGAACTTATACTAAAAGTTCATCAAACACTGTATAATTTTTAATTAACGTATCAAAATACCCTAATCTCAAAGGGTTATTGCGTAGGAGTGTATTAAAGATTTATTTTTATATCCCAATCTTCATAATTAAAAAAGATTATTGATGTTGCTTAATAAATTTTTTCTTGATCGACACATTTTTTATCCTTTTTTTTAAATAAAATCTAGCTAATTGTTATAGTTATCATATTAATTATGCTGAAAATAGCATAAATATTATATATAATGATTAAACATTTTTGTGACTTATCATGTTTTATATTTAGCATCATTATTACTTTTTTCCGAGGTGTTTTAATTTTAGAAAATTGTTAAATAAAGTAAAAATAAATAGATATTTACATTTTATTCTTTTAATTAGTATTTATTTGATATTTGAGATTTTTTATTCAATTTAGAAAACTTATAATTAAATCTCAATAATATATATATATGTATATGCATATGTATACATGAGGATGCTCTAAAGTTTGTTCAAAATAAAAAATTTGAATCCATAGGATGGACATTTTTCTTGGAAGGAAAATAAACCAACAAGACCATGGAGAGGTAAAAGGGAGATGGTAATTTCTTTTTTTTTTTATTAACTTGAGATATTTTGATACTTTCATAACAAATATTGTGGGTCTCACTATCAAAAAGTGGATTTAAATTCTCCAAAAAATTGAACATTAACGTAAAATAAATTTTAGGTTAACTGCTAAATTTAATAATATAAAATTGAGGATAAACACAATTCTATATGTTATTGATACAAACAACTTATTTTCAAAAGACACCGATAATGTTTACTAAAAAACAGATTGGGTAGATAAATTACTTACCGTTGCAGCTTAAACTTTTTTACACAAGTTATTTTAATTATAAAAATGTATTATAATTAATAATCTCTAACACAATCTAGGATCTATTTGGATTAGCGATTGAAAAAATAGTTTATTATCAATTTGACTTTTAAAAAATTTAAATCGAGTAAAAGTTAAATTGGGTGGTGTGAATTGTATTTGAATTGGATTTTATAAAAGTTAGTTTGTGAAAGTAAGTTGTTTGGATTATGATTGAATAAGTAATTTTAATTTGTAAAATTGCTAAAATGAGTAAGACTTTTATTAAAAAGTAAAAATAAAAAAAATCAATTTACATAATATACTAATTTTAAATTATTTCTAAGCTTCTATTGATCTCATATATTTTCTTTTTTTTTAATCATTTATTATAAAGGTATATTTGAAAACAAAAGTATATTTCTAACTTATTCATTATTTTCAGCTAATTTTAACTGATTTTTTGTTATCTACAAATTAGTTATTTAAGACTTATAATAAAAACCAGAGGAGGTATTAAATTTCTTAATTTTTTTTCTGTCTATATTTCAAAAGTCATAAGTCATAAGTAATTAATTTTTACTAATAACGTGTTGTAGCTTTTTATGCAAAAATGAGATTGTTCCATTGCCAACCCAAACACCACAAATGTTTCAAACTTCCGCTTGAAAAAAAGTAACTTATTGCCCTCCAAATACTGAGCCAAACAGCTCCTAATGCAATAGTCCTTTGAAATCGAGGTATTTTAGTACTTTTATAAAAATTATATGATATTTGGTAAATTTTTGGTATAAATTTGTGTATTTTTACTCTTAACTTTTTTTGTTTTAACTGGAGATATTTTAGTACTTTCATTAAAAAAATAATGGGTCCTACAATTAAAAAAAAAAGCAAACGTTAGTTAATTTTAATGATACTGGCATTATTGAGCTCTTTTTAAACTAATAGATTTGAATCCCAAAAAAAGAAAAAAACTGATAGTGTTGAATAAATTTTTGATATATTTTTATTAGTATTTTTAACCTTTAACCCTTTAATTTTTGGCCAGACAAAATTAACTTTTTTTTTACTACAGGTCTATTATATGGTTATCATATAGTATAACATTATTACTTCTTTTTTTTGCCAACATATCATCTTTACAATATGTTAATAATATATGTATCATAAAAGTATGACAAAACCATATACTATTTATTCATAATTTCGTAGACTTTATAACTACATAGGATGCATGGTAAAATTGATTACAAACCCACATCAAAAATGAAATCCATCAAACTTTAATCCATGCAGACATGTTAGTTTTTTTTTTTTTTTTTCTGGACTGAATATAGCCATGCTAGTTTTGATTATTTTCTTGCCCTTTTTGTTTTTGTGCGCCAACGATTATTTTCTATGGATTGATCCCCCTACAGTTTATTTTTTGGCAACCTACACAATTTCTTAGCTGACACCAAAACTCAAAAAACAAAATATAAATTTTTATTTTGCAACAATGTTTATTAAAAATTTGTTTTTTACTTTTGAAATATCCGTTTAGATAAAAAAAAATGTGAACTATAAATTTGCACAACACATGAAAATTGAAAACTTTTACATGCCCAAAAGTCTCTGCCGAAAAAAAAAAATCAAATCATTTGCAAATTTTTTCCGACAAAATTCGTTTTGAGATCAGAGTTGGCTTTTTTACCACTCATTTATTAAAATAAAATAAAAAAAGAATCAAACAATTTTGAAGCAATATTGGAGATACTCCCAACCATAAGGAGTAAACATTGTAGACATCATTCTTGTACAAGAGTAGAAGTCCCTGTGAAAGGATAATCAATACCAATATTTTCCTAGAAAAAGCACAATGGTGTAGCTTCCAAATAAGGGTGACCTCGCACTTGCTTTGGTCCTTCCCCCTCCTAAATAAGATACCTATCAGCTTCCAAAAACACAACATACAGAAGGCAAATTCTCTACCAATTGAACGATAATTGGGTACTCAACCATGTTTCTTTACATTCTATCATAAAGCTGGTACGCTAGGATGATATACCATCATTTTAATGGACAGCCGTCATATATCGTCTAGAAGCAGTCACCCATCCAACATATTGCTTTTCTATACGAGCTTTAACAAGTCACTTTCCACATAGCTGAAACATTCCTTTTACCGATAGAGCAAACTACGAATTCCATCCTCCCTGTTGCTATCCTTGCTGCTGAAGAATCTTCATATATCATCCTCACTGAAGATAGCATCATTCCACGTCAAAAAATGCGATTATAAAACATGTGCAGTCATAATAATTTGAAAAGAAAAGAAAAGAAACAAATGGTACTCCGATTTAAAAATTTTAACAAGCAATTAGTTATATTAACATCTAATGCACATATGATGCGGTTAGACCAACTTGATATGTTTGTAAATAATTAAGATTAGTTATATCTTTCTAGGGGGAAGATATCGGGTAGGATATTAAAGCATCTTAGTATTTATTTTCTGATTTTCCTCCCTAATTCCTTGGGATATCAACCTAAAAGTTCAGGGGCCTAGTATTGTACCTTCGTTGGCCTTTGACCCTGTACAAGCATACAGGTTGTATGCTTCCTGTCCAGACAAATAAGAGAGCCATCAGTAAACGATGCATTGCTCTAGTAACTTACTAGATATATAGCGCGTGCAAGAATAAAATCAGAAAAGTAGCTGATGGCTTAATTAATAAATGTTCAATTACTCACAGTCAATTGGGTGTTTATCAGTTTGGCGGGATGTATAATGCGCAGACAGTAAAAGCAACGAAAGGAACGCACTGGCAACAAAAATGGCATCAAACCACCGGTGATAAAAGTCAAATTGAATATCACCACCCAATACCTCTGTAATAATTATCCTGCCAAGAAAGTCAGACCAGGCATTAAAATGGTTAAGACTTTACAGCTAATAATTCTGGACATTCCAGAATTGGATCAGCCAAGAAATGTGACACAAGCCTCAAGTCCCATAATTTCATCTGCTGGCATTCTAATACTGACCATGGTTTTCCAACACTATAACATAAGTTCAGTTTCACATGATTGAAACAGGTCAGTCAAGTGTGCAATAAAATAAGAAGCAATCATCATACCATCACCAACTTTAGCCTAATAATACCCGTAGGCAGAACTTCATGAAGTTGAGATAAATCGTAACCTAAGAATGCACCGTTCCATTCACATTTTCAAGCTATTTCAAGGAGTTTGAGAATTGGTGTCCCAATACAAACAAGGATGAAAATGAGAAGCTCAACAAGCACAACTCCTGTTACTCAATAATTCACAGTAAGACCAAAGAGGTTTTTATTGGTCTTTTTCAGGCAAGAGTAGGGTTTGAAGTTTGAGGGAAGGTATACGGTTTAATCTTACTATGATGCCGCGAGAGAAGAGGGGCAAAATAAGAGATATACCAAAAGAGAAGTAATACCAGCCTATTGGACCCCTCAACATTTTTACACAATGTTCTATTTTAACCCACAAACCAGTTGGTCAATGCATGCTCCAGTTCAAAGCAGACGGTGAAAAAAAAAAAATATTAAAAACCGGTCAAATCAGCCATGAACATGGAAAAACTAACAAAACTGGACCAATTAATGCGCTAGGCAGCTCAATGTTCATTTTCTTTCCCTTCGATTAAAAGGTGGGGAAAAGAGTGAGAACAACCATAGACAAAACCTAACCAGAACCAAGAAGATATGAAAAGATGCAACCAAGACCTGGACTAATCAAGATCTAAAAAAGGGGGATTACGAAATTACAGAGAATAGAAAAGAAAATAAGAGACAAGAAATAGGGGGGAAAATAGACAGGTTCATTATAATAGAAGAAACGAGGAGGGGGAGGAAGAATAGACAATCAGAAGAAAACAATCAGGATTTAAAATGGGGAAAAACAAAAAGAAATGCAGCAGCCTTCATGTTTCATGTTTTCCAAGTTGTAGTTTGCACAAACTCACTAATGAATGGACAATCACCTATAAGCCACAGGTTAAAACCACCAAGAGAGGCTTTGTGTGGAGCAGAACTAAGGCTACTAATAAGCAGAATGATTAATAGATATGAAATTATAAAATACTGCATTATATAGCTAACTGAGACTAAGTCAGGTGATAAAGGTGAAGAGATGTGTGAGTTAAGGTCTACAATCAAATCCTCTTGATATAACAAAAAAGTTATACTCTATAAAATACAAAATATAATTCATTTATATATTTATTGCTTTTCCATTATACTCATCTTCATTCATTTTTATTTTTTTAATTTATTGTTGTTGAATTATTATAATTTTAATTTTGATATTTATGTCATCATTTCTATCTTTCTGATTTAAAATAAGCAATATAAAATTAAAAATATATTAATTTAATTATGATTAGTTTAACCTGACTGATGAACCACAAACCAATACCTCAACAAATTTAATCACCAGTTCAGTCTTCATAACATTGATTTTATATGAGGGAACCCAAAAAAAAAAAAAAAAAACTGACATAAATGCCTTAATACAGAAGTCAAATATGAAAATCATATTCTAACGCAGATTTCTACAAATACCTGTATTCAGTTGCCAAGCTTTTCCTGATTAAAAGAATAGACGATACAAAATACATTCCCATTATCTCGGACAGAAACAGGACTACATTGCTTGAAGATCCACTTCCAACACGGGAAACAGCAAAAAAGAACTGCATACAGACAAAACATTACAAAAATAAATAAACAAGCTACATAAGAAGTCACCACAACAAACTATTACTTCACTGTTATTTTGGTTTTCCAATAACATTTCCTTACATGCTTTTTGGGTAAAAAAGTCCTTTACAAAAAAGTTGCTAATGAAAAGAGAGAACAGTGCAATAACAGGAGAGGTGATCCTCCCGGTCAAAAGAAAATTCTGCGATGTGAATATTTTTTGCAATGCTACAATATGATTTTCTATTCACAGAGCTGAAATTACATTATAAGACCAAACTAAACCCTTATTAAATCCCATTAATGGTGGCACTCCTTTGACAACAAATTAGCTTTCTTTGTGTGATTCTCCACCCTGTTTCAAGATTAAATGATGCTGCTGCCCAAGACTAGCTCAGGGAGTTGGGGAGGTGAGGATCTCAGTAATGAATTCCAAGCATCGTGATCCAAAAAATACCAGTTAGGAAAATGGTTAAATGTAGTGTCCCAAAAGTTAAGGGTATGAGTTCATTACGTGATAATATATTGGAGAGAACGTCATATCAATATAGAGGTTGAGTCCATAACCTAGCCTCAAGTCCATGCATTTGCATAAAAATACCATGTTAATCATATAGAAACTTAAAAAAAAAGAAAAAAGAGAGAGATTAATTTTTGAAATAAAAGATAATAATCACATCAATAAATAGTTCCGTAACAATATCTAGCTTTTCCACTTTTATATAATAATATTGAGTCTTTCAATAATATTTACTTGGTCCTTTCTTTTCCCCCTTGACTCTAGCTCTCCCTATAGTATCAAAGCTGAGGTATCAATGGGACAAAAATTCATATTCATGATTCACTTCACCAGAACTAAAATCAAAACATCATTTTATAACTTATCTCAGCAAACATCAAAGGGAAAAATAAAGGCAATGTAAAGCTGCAGGAATACCTTCATTAGATTTGTTAAGAATCCACGCACCGATATGACAATCAACATTCCAATGAACAGTAAGGAAATGTACTGTAAAAGAAAAACAAAATTACTAAATTGTAGCCTCAAACCATGTTAACAACATAAACTTGACAAGTTGTCATCACACACACACAAGGGCAAACTGCGAAGAAACTAGAAAATTTGACAATGTCAACTTTCAAGAACTTGCCAGTGTTCCGAATCTTGCTAAAAGCAAGCAGAAAAATATCTAATATTATAAGGGAACTGCTCATAGCATAATTCAAACCCAAAGATAAACAGTGAGTCACTAATGAGATGTAGAAAACTTGGAATACATTCCTTGAAAACATTCGAATGATAGATTTAAGAAGTGGCACATGATTGAAAAGCTTATGGAATAAAAGTAAATGGTACCATTTTTTTATTTGGCAGTTAAGCACTAGCACAAATGAAACTATTAGAGCAGTATTTATACCAAGCATTGACATAAATGTAAAGCATCATTTTTATTTATGAATTTCCTAGTCATCAATGAGGTCTAGTACGTGAATGAAAAGGTGAAAAGCAAACCTGCCTCATCATTTAAGACGTCACAAAGGACCTTGAAGCAAGCTCACGTTAGTGAAGGTCAACTGATAGTGAAAAGTGAAAACTGAATACAGAAAGTTCAAAAACTACAACGAATAGGTTCACAGCAGACTTTCAAATTGTATAAGCACAACCTTATCTTAACATGACTTTTCCTAGATGCTTTACAAAACAAAATTGACCATATTTTAAGATAAACAAGCATTAGGTGTCTGCGCCAGATTAAGATGACCACTAACCGATTCCAGAAAAACTCAAAAGTATGGCATGTAACAGGACTCTAACCTGTGATAATAAGGCAGCATTGATTCCGATGTCAAAGAACTGTAAGAATATACTAATTGTCCTTGTTACAGGATCAACAGAACCATCCTGCAATAGGATCGGATTATTGCAAATGATGGTAATTAGGGAATCTTAACATCTAGAGAAAAAGCTAAATCTTAGGAATTACTTCCGGAAAAGAGATACCTGTTTGAAAACAACACTTTGCAATGACTGGAGGGGGGGAAAAAAAGAGAGAGATCCAATCAATCAGCCAAGTCAAAGTGAACTATGATGAAAGAGAAGAAAAAAATCTCAAGTTTTTAATAAAAATCATCAATCTAAAATCATTATTATCCTTGCCAGATAGATTTTATCAACACAAAACACTATAATAAAACCAGATGCTTAGCCATCCTCTGTCAACCTTTTCTAGATCATTAATACTACTTAACAAGGGAACTCTTTCTTAGCTTTCAAGACTTTCCTAAATCTTTCTTAGCTTTTAAGACGTTCCTAAATTTTTAATACTTCTTATCACAAGTCATAAAGTCTATTTGGGCTTTCATTCATGTTATTTAGCGATTAGTGGATATTATCCTAACACCTGACATCTCCTCGTAGAATTAATAAAAGAAGAGAATCTTGATCATGCTATGATTGGGAATTTGCCCGAAAACTTGGACAATAAGCTGCAGAATGTCTAATTAAGGGGACGTAATGCTTCTTTTCTATGAATGGCAAGTTATATGAGTACTATTAACAAATTACGATGAGACATTCTGTTGTGGTATTGGAATAAAAGAGAAAGGGAAAGAGAAATAGGGAAGAGAGGATATGAGAGAGAGAAATAGAAGGGACGAGAGAGAAGTAGGCAACATACTACTCCTCTAGTCCTATTTATAGGGCAAAGAGAAAAGACATTTTTTGGTCCTATTTATAGGGCACTGAGAGAAATTTTTTGTGTAGATATACAATTTTACCCTCCATTTATTATTGTGTTGACTTTGTTTACATAAGGTATAATGTATATTAAACAGGGCTAAAGTTGGAAAGTTTTTGAATTTTAAACAAGTTAATAAAACTTAAGGCTTTTCTTAGTCTATGTGAAACATGTTGAAAGTGACTTATAAATAAGAACAGAGGAGTAACCTATATCATTCATAATCTGCCTTAATGGGGTACTTAACATCTATTTATAGGCAATAAGACTTCTAACCATCTCACATTCCTATAACGACCCATTCTGTTATTTCTGTTATTCATTTATTATTATTCCATAACATATTCTGACTTATCCCATCAGACCACATGCTATAGCTCTCAAACCATCAATACCCTGAATTACCAATATCTATCAATTATCAACCATTGCTTGCTCCAAGAACCCCTAAACTTGGTCAATAGATAAAAATTACCCTTGCCATCCCATGTCACAATACCTTGATCATTTTATATACACAATACACAGAACAAGCATAGCCAAGTAGATTCTGCAAGTGCCCCCTCCAAGTTCGAGAATAAGCGGCAGCTTCCTGCAAAATGACAAGTTTTCCTAATAAGCAGACTTGAGAATGAAATATAAGTTTAACAATGCTCAGCCATATAAAATATTCCAGTGAGTGGACAATAGAATTTCCTCGAACATCCACGTCAAATAAGTTCAAGTCTATATAAAATTTATGTAAACGGCTGAGTTCAATTTTGTTTCTCAGTTGTATGCTTTGTTTTGATATTTTGGTACATATATAGATATCAGAGGCAACAAGCCAGCCTCCCAGCCTAAAGGATAATAAAATCTAGGTTAAATCTGGCCAACCCTTCAAAGCATAACTGACTTAAGAATAATAAATGGATAAAAGCTGATAATAAAAATAAGATAAACAATAAATAACAACTCAACGCCCTAGAAATACAATGCTGACTCCTTTTCTGTTTGAGAAGCACTGTTCAACTCTCACACTCAAGCTGGGATGTATACGTTCACTATGCCCAGCTTTCCACTGAGTGTCTCAAGCACTTCACTTGGAAGTTCCTTTGTCAGTAAATCAAGGACCTGAGCTCCAGAAGGTACATATAACACATCAACTACCTTTGCTTCATTTCTTTCTGAGATAAAGTGGCGATCAATCTCAAATGAACACAACTGATACCATTGCAAGTAATTATCACCATCAAGTTTGTGACTCGTGATGAGGGAGGACAAGTCTTTGGCGGCAAAGGGCTGGGAAGAACCAGCATGAGACATTCTGGTGCGCAAGGAACTAGTATAGGTCATCTATCTCATTTTGTGTCTCAGCATTGAACACCTTGTACTGGCCGACTTGGAGCTAAGGATCATCATGGCTCGGATACCATCTAATTTGCAGAGTAGTTGAGTCTCTACTTCAATTCTATTGGCTTCATGAACTTGTACATATAGCCAAAGGCTAAGGTCACACTCATTAAATCAAATCAGATTCTAATCTAATTATATCTGAGGAATATCCTAAATAATAATATCTACAAATGGCAGAATCAGATTATGATCAGATATTAATAATGATAGAATCTTCCTAAAGGAGCAACAGCGTGGTTGCTGTGGGCCAAGCCCATTATCGGCATCTGCAAACTCTGTGCGTGTGTGTCTGAAAAACTCCACTCATAATAACTCCAACCATCATTAGAACATAATACCAAGCTCATAAATGGTTAACATGTCAAAGTTAAAGGATTTCATGATTCCAAATTCACATTATGTAGCATTTCTATGCCCTTCAACAATAAGTTGCCCCACGTAATAACATCAATTACAACTACAACAAAAGCTTCAAATCAAGCGTTCCTAACTTCCTATCACTAAGATCAAGTGACAAGACATCCAAGTTCCAAGTAGGAATAGATTTGAATTCATTCAGGAATTGGAATGAAATTGAAATCTGAACTTATTACCTGGGAATTAGTAATTAATTAGGAATCATTCAGAAGATTAGTTAGTTAAGAAGCAAGATAATGAACAAGTGGGAAGAACTGAGCAGAATACACAGATCTACTTTAAAGAGGAGGAGGAAAACAATGTGATTAAGGAAATAAAGAACGCAACAGAGACAGATGAGATGAAACATCATTTTGATTGCAAGGAATATTTTCCAACAACTCCAATTGCTATATATGTTGCTTTTGCAGGAAGCTATGAGGTCAAAGCTGGTAACAAGGCCTACATGATTCTCACTGTAGTGAAGAAGATAGAGAATATGTGATTGAAGGAGAACCTAAGGAAGGGAAAGAAGACATCATTCCTTAAGAGCTTGGAGCAATCACAAATAAATTTAAAGATGATGAAGGAAATATTAACCAAAAGGCGCCTAATAGAGGCCAAAAGATTGCTTTAGCCACCCGCTCTAGCTCATTATCACATCAATCCAAGATTGCTCTACCCACCCACTCTAGCTTGTCATCACATCAACCCAACCTAAGCTTTAGTGACAACATTCTTGAAGTTGTATCAACCAACAGTCACCCTTTTAGATGATTCAAAGAGAACAACATCCTGTTTATTTTGCTGAATATTTCATGCTCATATATTATTTCATATGATTGGGTTACAATATATAGAGTCCGGATGAGAAAAAATATCCGGTTACAATCAATCAGTCATAAATTACATATATTGCAATATCTCAATAAATCAGGAAATATATCTTCTAGCTAATATCATGGGCAATTAATGGAGAGAATCAAGGGAGATAATCAGGGGCTTTCTAACACTCCCCCTCAAGCTGGAGAGTAAATGTCAACCATTCCCAGCTTGCTTCGAAGCCCTTCAAACTTGACTCTGGCTAAAGGTTTGGTCATGACGTCAGCAATCTGATCAGTTGAGCGCACATAGCTCAGGTTAATTGTGCCATCTTCAACCTTTTCTTTGATGAAGTGCCGATCAATGTCAACATGCTTTGTTCGGTCATGATACACAGGATTCTTGGTCATTTCAATGCTGGCTTAGTTGTCACACCAGAGGTTCATAGGTCCTTCATAGGAAATTCTCAATTCCTTCAGAAGTCTGATCACCCACATTCCTTCACATACCCCCAGGGCTACAGCTCTTAGCTCAGCTTCAGCACTACTCCTTGAGACTACTGTCTGTTTCTTGCTTCGCCAAGTGACTAGGTTTCCCCAAACATAAGTGCAGTATCCTGTGACAGATCTTCTGTTATCCACAGCTCTCCCATGATCTGCATCAGTGTAGACCTCTATGTTCCTTGTACTCCCCTTTTTAAAGAATATCCCTCTTCCAGGATTGAGTTTGAGGTAGGTCAGGATTTTGTTTACTGCTTCCATATGTTCTTCCTGGGGTTGATGCATAAATCGGCTTACTACTCCAACAGCATAGCTAATGTCAGGCCTTGTATGAGTCAAGTAGATTAGTTTACCTACAAGTCTTCTGTACCTTTCTGAGTTGACCGGTACCCCGTCTGGTTTCACTTCTAGATTACATGATTCTTCCATAGGCGTCTCACTAGGTTTGGCCCCAAGTATTCCTGTTTCGTGGAGCAAATCAAGTGTGTACTTTCATTGAGACACACTTATACCCTTTTTGGATCTAGCAACCTCCATTCCAAGAAAGTACTTCATTTGTCCTAGGTCCTTCACTTGGAATTCCCTAGCCAGAGCTTTCTTGAGTTGGGAGATAGAAACTTCATCACTGCCAGTTATGACTATATCATCCACATACACAATTAGGATCGTTACCTTTCCATTACTGTGTTTAACGAAGAGAGTGTGATCAGCTTGTCCTTGGATGTAGCCAAACCTTTTGATTGCCTTGGCAAACCTGTCGAACCACGCTCGTGGAGACTGTTTCAGGCCATATAGTGATTTCTTCAGTTTGCAAACTGAGTTGGGTGGAGCTATTACTCCATCTGGGATTTCCATGTACACTTCCTCCTCCAAATCTCCATTTAGGAAAGCATTCTTCACATCTAGTTGATGTAGAGACCAGTCAAGGTTAGCAGCTAGAGACAGCAGTACCTGGATGGTGTTGAACTTTGCCACAGGAGCAAACGTTTCTTGATAATCAATCCCATAAGTCTGGGTGTACCCTTTTGCAACTAATCTTCCTTTGTACTTGTTGATACTTCCATCAGGATTGAATTTAGGGGTGAAGATCCACCTGCAACCCACTGCTTTCTTGCCCTTAGGAAGTGTGGTAATATCCCACGTGTTATTTTCCTTTAAGGCTCTCAACTCCTCATATGCGGCACGTTTCCAATTAAGATCTTTCATAGCCTGTTGAAATGTTTCTGGAATCTTCACCTGTGAGCTATTCACCACAAAGGTTTGCATTCTAGCAGATAAATTGCCATAGGAGACAAATTTTTGAATAGGATGCTGAGTACATGATCTTACCCCCTTTCTAAGTGCAATGGGCCATCCTAGCTCTTCAAGATCCAACTCTGGATTGGAATCATGTTGCTGCCTTGGAATGGAAGGAACCCTACTACTACTATCCTGCTCACCTGATTGAGGACTTGAACGCTCTGTCACCCCTGCATCAATTTCAGCATTCGTTTCCATTGGGTGAGTCGAGTGAGGAGTGTTTGTGGGGTTTTGGTGCTCTAGTGGAGGTGTAGGACTAGGGGTTTTTGGTTCCGGTTCAGGGACAGTGATTTCTTCTTGTGGTATGGCAGGTTTAAGAGGGGTGGTAAGATGTGTGTTGGGATTGGTCATAGGTTTAGGTGTAATTAGCCATTCTACTCCATAGTGCTCCCCCTGAATGGGTAATTTGGGATAATAAGCATCGTCCTCATAAAAAACCGTGTCTTTGGAGATTATGAGTTTTCTGGTAGTGGGACAATAACACTTATACCCCTTTTTGGTGGAGGAATACCCGAGGAAAATACATTTTTCGGCTCTAGCATCAAGTTTGCCCCCATCATGTTTATGAACAAAGACGACACACCCAAAGACCTTTTGAGGGATGGTATTGATGATAGGTGAGGTGGGGTAGGTCTCGAGGAGTTTTTGAATGGGGGTAAACTTGATGCTAGAGCCGAAAAATGTATTTTCCTCGGGTATTCCTCCACCAAAAAGGGGTATAAGTGTTATTGTCCCACTACCAGAAAACTCATAATCTCCAAAGACACGGTTTTTTATGAGGATGATGCTTATTATCCCAAATTACCCATTCAGGGGGAGCACTATGGAGTAGAATGGCTAATTACACCTGAACCTATGACCAATCCCAACACACATCTTACCACCCCTCTTGAACCTGCCATACCACAAGAAGAAATCACTGTCCCTGAACCGGAACCAAAAACCCCTAGTCCTACACCTCCACTAGAGCACCAAAACCCCACAAACACTCCTCACCCGACTCACCCAATGGAAACGAATGCTGAAATTGATGCAGGGGTGACAGAGCGTTCAAGTCCTCAATCAGGTAAGCAGGATAGTAGTAGTAGGGTTCCTTCCATTCTTTAGCAGCCAAAATCTTCCTCCCCGAGGTCGAATCCTGAAAAACACACTTAACATCATCAAAGATTACCCGACATAC